AGCACGTCTGTGCGAAAGTGACTGTAGACGAGATGCCAGATCAGGACTTATCACATTGCATATTCGTTTCTGGATTTTCTAGAGGACACCAAGAGAAATAACTGGGTCATCAGACAACAATATTCAGGGCAAGAACGAATGATATATTTATTTAGGGTGTATGTTAGAATAACTCAGATCATATACTGGGAGTAAACCGATTGCCTAAGGATGCAATTCAGTGTCACAGTTTGCGTCCCCTGTTAAAAAATTTCCCACATATCTAAATCTTTGAACTTGTTTGATTTTTTTTTTTATCTCCGATTTGTAATTTGCATTTTGGCCACATCCTTTGTCCTAACAATCATGGATTCTGTCTTCTTTTTTGATAAGGCTGGAATAATGAGGTCAATATTTATTTTCGAAAATAATTTTCTCTAAATGGTGATTGTTTACATTTTACTTGTATTGATTTTAAATCGACTAAGATGAGTAATCGAACACATAAATATACAAAAAGTTGATTTGTCCTTTACACTACAGATATGAAAATAAATAGATGAATACATAACGATAATTATTATTTCGCTTCATGATAATGATTGACAAGGAATTTCTATAGAGAAAACGTGCGACATTCATTGACCGAAAGTTAGTGTCACTCCAGGTTGTAATTTATTATTTTTTTAAATGTTTTGTCATAAGAATGATTTTCAAAACCTTTAACTGCTATCGCTCTTTATAGTATTGACATGATTTTCATCTGTTCACTTATTTCTAATATGTTTGCTCTGTTCTAACATTCTTCTTGTATTGAATACTGACAAACAATATTCAAACAAGGAAGAATTGTAAATTTGAGGATGTATATTAGAATAAATCAGAATTTATATCGATTGCATGAAGATGTAGTTTATCGTCACAGTTTCCGTCCTCTGTTAAACATTTCCCATATACTTAAATCTTTGAACTTGTTTGATTTTTTTTTATCATGATTTGAAAATTTGCATTTTATAATACCTCCTTTGTCTTAACAATCATGGATTCTTCTGTCTTTTTATCTGGTGATGTTTAGGAAGTTGATAAGGCTGGAATAATGGATCAATATTTATTTTTGAAAACATTATTTGCCTCGGCTATTTGTATTCGAAAAGCAAAAAAAAAAAAAGTGTGTCCGTTTTAAAATTGAAATTCGTTGTATGGCATAATTATTCAAAGTTTATAAGTGAAATTTATCAGGAAATTGTTCCGGTGCAGTGCAGATGTATAAAAGTAGGAATTTTGAAATTTCTTTGTTTTGTGTTTGGAAAAGCATTTACAAAATGTGAACAAAATTTTCTTAAGAAAAAAATTTTATAATATCTCTCTCTCTCTCTCTATCTATCTCTTTGTCCACACACATACAAACATAACAGCGTTTGATGTTTGACAGTATTTATCTGTTCTATAAGAGTTTGCCTCTTATGCCTTATGTTCTTATAAGAGTATGCCTCTATGCGGTTGTATGGGTTTGTCCAGAAACATCATGATTGAAAAGAAACAGTATTATAATATAAACATTATCTATCTATCAATCTATCTATCTATCTATCTATCTGTCTGAGTCTAGGTTTGTCTATAGGATCGATTTATTCTGATGTTATCGGTTTGGAGGTCGATATCTGCGCCATCTTTGTTTGTTGAAAACCATACCACGGGGTGTCAAAAACCTGAAAATAGAAATGAAATTGTTTGAGCAATTCACAAGTCATCTATGTAAGAGGCATGGGTTCTATGGGAAAAGCATAGACAAGAAACATCATGTTTTTGAAAGGAAAATATTATAATATAAATATCTATCTATCTATCTGTTTGTCCATATCTATCTATCTATCTATCTATCTATCTATATGTGTTTGTCCATTACCCATCTATCTAAATCTATCTATCTATTTATCTGTTTGTCCATATCTATCTATCTATCTATCTATCTATCTATCTATCTATCTATCTATCTATCTGTCTGTCTGTCTGTTAGTCTATATCTATCTATCTATCTGTTTGTCCATATCTGTTCTATCTATCTATCTATCTATCTATCTATCTATCTATCTATCTATCTCAGTTTATTCATTACCAGTCTATCTAAATCTGTTCGAATTTATCTATCTATCTATCTATCTATCTATCTATCTATCTATCTATCTGTTATCCTTTGTCTGTTGTGTAATTTAGTGTTTCAGTTTCCCTCCTCAGATAAAACATTTCCGATATATTTAAATCTTTGAACTTGTTTGATTTTGCTATCTCCGATTTGTAATTTGCATTTTGGTTTCACCATTTATTTGACAACCATACGTTATGTCTTCTTGCAATTGATGCTTAAATCTTTCTTTCCGTTTTTCTTCGCTATATTCTCAACTGTCAGTCAGTTATGTGCCGTGTGTGATACACGGTTAAGCGATCATGTATCTCTCGATACATGACTGACGAGGCAGATTTTTTTCCCGCAGTAGGTTGTAATTTCTTTCTGCGGTAGACCAGTTGCTATCCAAGGCTATAGAACTGCTACATGTCCTGCTATTTACTCATAGCTGGGAGGAAGAAGGAGAGAATTCATACCTTTCCCAAGGGCATTACTACCACGTAAGTAAATGTAATGGATTCGACTGGAATTTGAAATCGGATGTGAGTATACATTCACAACTAAAATAGAATCCAATGAACCGTTTATTTAATCCTGGACTTTATATTTTTTAGACGTTCAATGATATCTATGATTCATTGATTAAAATATATAAATTAATTTTTACTCAATATCTTTACACGTTAAAATATTACGTTTAATATAACATTAAAATGGAAGTATACCTCGGGAAGTAGACAGGCCCAAACCCATTTATGCAGTTTCTGTGGGGATATTTTTGGCCGAGCTTACGGGCTCTGAGAACCCACGGTAAACTCGGCCTTGTGCCACATACATCCTGCGTCGGGGGACTCTTAAATATCTGCAGTCGAAACGCAGTCTTCTGACTGCTTGCGACTTCTGTCGAACTCTCTGCTTCGTCAGAGAGGAACCCGGATGAAACTATGCCGAAGGGCAGAGTTTCGTCCGGGGAGGTAGCCAGGCCCTGAACCCCTTTATACGGGTTCTAAGGGAATATTTTTGGCCGAGCCTACGGGCTCGGAGAATCCACGGTAACCTCTGCTTTGTGCTACATACATTCCTCCTGGGGGTGGGGACTTTTAGATATCGGCAGTCTATACGCAGTGTAACCTGACAGTTCGGACGGAAAATTTTATCTGATGACTAATAACATTCTTATTTTGTATATATGTTCTGTTATTTCAATACACTTGTTCAACCTACCTTCATGTTTCCATGTCTTTCTTTCTGACCCCTAACAGGCGACAACAATATCATCTTATATATCACTAAATGCAGGATAGTCACCTTACAGAAGAACTTGACTCAACGTTAATGTGTTTCAGTAAAAGGACGCGAAGAATACAGTGGACTACACACAAGTTTTGGAGAAGAATAGAGAAAACGGACAATTATACTGAACATAAAAAAAGATACGTAGTTGAAATTTATAGGGCGCAAAATGAGGAAAGTGGGCATCGAAAATCTGAGACTCACAAGGCAGGTTGAATCATAAGAGACAAAAGAGAGTGGCGTGTAATACGCATATCGAGTTTGTGTAAATGACTGAGAGAAGAGTGTTTGGGAGGAATAGCGAAAATACAAACTTTACTAAGGGCTACAAAAGACAGGAAATCGTGGAGGGCGATGATCACCCAACACCGGAAGAGATACGCCACATAAAAGAAGAAGAAAAAGAAGATATATTTATATATGAGCATGTTTATGCGTGTTAACCTTTTTGCTAGAGAGTGCTCTAGAGCAGGTCAAATTTGTTTTGTGTCAGCTTCACTTCGCATTTAAGCAATGGTGAGAGGAAGCAGATTAATCAGGCTTTCAGTAATGGTACCAACATCTATATTCTGGCTTCCATCTTCAAAATCCATTCAAGAACTATCAACAGGAAAAAATAGTTGAAATTTAAATCCGAGTCTCACGACGCAGGTTCAAGTCATGAAGGTCTAACACTCATAATGAGCTTGTATAAATGGCTAGCAGAAGAGAGTTTAGGAGAAACAGAAAAAAATGTAAACTTTACTAAGGGCTACAAAAGACAGGAAATAGTGGAGAGCCATGATCAACTAAAACCTGAAGAGATACGACACATAGACGAAGAAGAAGACATGTGTATATAATGAGCTTGTGTAAATGGCTAGCAGAAGAGAGTTTAGGAGAAACAGAAAAATATAAAATTTACTAAGGGCTACAAAAGACAGGAAATTGTGGAGAGCCATGATCAACTAAAACCTGAAGAGATACGACACAGACGAAGAAGAAGACATGTGTATATAATGAGCCTGTGTAAATGGCTAGCAGAAGAGAGTCTAGGAGAAACAGAAAAATATAAAATTTACTAAGGGCTACAAAAGACAGGAAATTGTGGAGAGCCATGATCAACTAAAACCTGAAGAGATACAACACATAGAAAAAGGAGAAGAAGAAGAAGAGGAAGGAGAAGAAGATATGTGTGTATATGAGCATATTTATGCGTGTGTCCCTTTTTCCTAGGGAGATCCTGGGGGATATATCAACTGCAAAAATTGGTATTCTGTCGTAAAGAATCAGAATGATATTTAGATATAAAGAGTGTGTTTGTGTGTATTGTATTGAATATGTATTTCGCTTGTGTATATATGTATATGTATATGTGATGATGAATATATAAAAGATGGGTCCCATTTAATGTAATAAGACAAGGAATGAAAGAGAAATAGTTTATGAGAAAACTTTTTTCCGGTCATCATCCCAGGATTTGTCGAATGACTTAAGTATTTCTTGCGTTATTTCCAAAGGCCTGGAAGATCGGTGTTTCGGTGCCAGACGCGAAGATTTATCTGCACATCTGTAGAAATGTCAACAATGACTTATTGCGGTCTTTGACTGTTCCTGAAGATCTTCAATTGTCTGATTGTTGATTCGGGAGATCGGGTCCCCGAATAAGATCGGGACGAACGAATGAACTAAAAGCTAAAGATAGAATGAAAATGAAAGAGTGAAAGAAAGTGAAAGACGATGAAAAGAAATCAGCGACACAGAATGAAAGAAAAATAAGAAAGAATGGAAGAAAATGAAAAAGAATTATCGTGAAAGAAGGAAATAGAACCAAAGGGAAAGACGGATTCAAATGAATGCTAATGAAATAGGAAGAATGAAAAAGAGTTGAAAGAGAAATAAAAATGACAAAGAGAAAAGAAGGTAAGAGAATGAGGATGAAAGCGAAAGAGTAAAATGAGATGAAAGAGAAATGAGGAGAGAGAATTAAATAGAAAGAGAAATGAATGAAAACAGAAAGACGGAAACATAATGAAAGTCATAGAATGGAAGGAATGAAAAAGAATGAAAGAGAAAAGAGTAAAGTGAATTTAAAAAATAAATGAACGAAAAAGTGAACTAAATACAATGAAAGCGAAAGAAGGAAACAAAATGAAAGAGTTCGAATGAAAGAACTAAAAAAAGAAGGAAAGATAAAGAAATGCCTAGAATAAGAGAGTAAGAATAAAAATGAAAGAGAAAGATTAATCAATGTTCACGGAAGAGAAAGTATGAAAGAGAAATTGGTTGAGACTACAAGAGAAGGAAGGAAAGAGAAAGGAATAAGAAGGGAAGAGAATGAAAGAGGATTAAAGATAACGGGTGAAATGGAATGAAAGAAACAGAATGAAAGAAAAAGTGAAAAAAAAGAAAGAGAAAGACGGAAAAGAATGAAAGAAAAAGAATAGTGAAGAAATAATAAATGATTGCCAAATAAAAAAAAGACAGTGAAAATGAAGTAAAGACAAAAGAAAGAAAAAAGAAGAAAAAGGTTTTCGATTTGAATTCTCTGATAGATACTTTAGTTAAAGTTAATCTATATACTTAGAAACCTCGGTTCTTGAACGTCTCACATGTCGAACAAATCGGTTTTCGTACAGAAAAATCAAAATGAAAATGCCTCGGTTACCGAACAAAATTTCGGTTCACGAACAACATTGCCCTCCGACCGATCCGAGTTAACCCGAACCGAGCCGATCCGAGTTAACCCGAACCGAGCTGATCCGAGTTAACCCGAACCGAGCTGATCCGAGTTAACCCGAACCGAGCCGATCCGAGTTAACCCGAACGGAATCATTTCTGAGTCGACCTACTTGTATATATTCATGTGTTGTGCTGTGCTTTTCTTTTCCAATTTTATTATACTGTGCCTTTTTTCTCTTTATTAGTCCTCAGTCATGGCTCCAAAGAAAGCTAGCAGTGATACTTTCAAAGGAAAAAGAAAAGTTGAGAGAAAAACAATTGTTGGTGATATTGTCTCTTCCTACTCAGTTTCATATAGAAAAATCAACGATCTCTGCTATTCTTATAAAGAAAGAGACGATTATGTCTTTCCTTTCCGTTTTCCAAACAGTAACATCTCTTTCCTCCCACTTCCACTTACGCCATCAACTCTCATACTTACAGGCACGGTAACATTAAAATGTCCCTCTATATTTTATCTATTTAATATTGAGTTTATTTATTTTTTCTTAGATTTAATGATTTTCATTAGTTTTGTGTTTAAAACCTGCGCCCAAAGAACTGTTGTAAAAGTTTAAATAAGCAATCATCTTGGAACCAAGAACGGATAAATCCATTTTACATTAATTCCTATTGGAACAATAGTTTCGGTTAACGAACCTTTCGGGTTACAAACGGACTTCAGGGACGAATTCAGTTCGCCAACCGAGGTTCCACTGTACAGAAAACAGAGGATATCTGTCTGTGTGTCTGTCTATGTGATACGTTTTCACTCGAGATCCATCCTACCGATTTTGACCAAACTTAGCGCATACATTGTACAATATAAGAGATAGCTTCTTAACGTAAAAAATAAATCATTTTTAAAAAATCAATAATCGATAAACCCGATCAAATATCCATAAAGATTTTTTTCAATTTTTTTCCTCCGATTTCGTTCAAACTCGATATGTAGGTTACTTACAATATAACGAACTCAACGATACCTCATTTTATTTCTACACCACAGCGTTTAGCGAAAAACACCGTGACAAACGAAAAATCGATTTCAGCACAAATTTTGAACTAAAAAGTCTCAGTTTTCAGGCAATCTAATACAAAGTTCACTTAATAGTAGCCAAGAAGAAGTTGATTGTCTAACAATCATTTAACTTGAGAATTGAGTCAAATCATATAGTGAAAACCTGTGTAAATAGCGAAAAATGACAATTTTCAAAAACTTCAAAATAATTGTCGTCTGAAATGTGTCTTCATGTTGCCTGTTTTCTCCTTTATGTCCTCGGTTAACTTCGATTGAATAAATACAGACTACTTCTGTTATATCAGTAACTGCATTAATTCAAATGCTTTTTTATGAAAGTACTTTAAACTAATTATAGATTGACTCTGCTACATCTAAACATGATGCTGTTTTTGCTCCATTCAAATTGAACGCGTTTTCTGATCGACCAGCTGCGTATAGCTGCTAGAGATTTCATGGCAAGTTCGACAACAATCTGTAGAAATTTTCTTATCGCATCATAAAATATTTATGCTTGATACCCTTGTAGCGGTATTGACGTGCGGGTTAATTTATGTAATTAACCCGCACATTTTTTTACTTTACGAATGTGTAAGCAAACAAAAAACAAACAAGAGAAAGAACAGAAGAAAATAACTTTTCATAACAGGCACAATATTTATATTTATAAATGACAACAGTTTTCCAATAATTATTAATATGAGTTACTTCCCTTTGACTGGGTTAAGGTCTTTACTACGAAAATGTTTTTTTACCTGAGCTCACAAAAAGTTTAATTATCTTGTCGCTCAAAATGTTCACTGAAAGAGAGTTTAAAAAATCTTGAAAAGCTGAAAATATGTTGATAAACTTTTAGCTTCAAAGAATTCGGAGAAGTGAATGTTCCGTAATGTCTAATTTGTTTTCATTGCTCGTAGTTGAATGTATTGTTCGTAATTGTTTGTACTTAAGTTTCGTAAGATTCAATAACGTGATTGAATAGTTTTTAGTAAGCTGCAGAAGTTGGTGAGTGAGTTGTTTCGTTGATATTTTAGCTTGAATTACAGTGAAGTTATTTCATATTAAAGAACTTGAGATTCTAACTTTGTGCTTCGCTGCAGTAATGATACAAGCGTCGTGAACCTATTTAGCAAATGCTAGTCGTCGTAAATTCTCACTGACTGGATTCGTTCGTACCTTCAATTTATATGTTTTTTAATCACGTGACAAGATCCTGAAAGCACTGTTTTTTCGTCGGGTCAAAAACTAGGTTGGTGTTAATCGGACGTAGTGGTGAGCAGGTAAAATGTTTTTTGTTTTTTTAATATTTGTTAACCATTCAGAAAGCGCCTTACAAAACTCAGTCTGGAGCCTGATATGTTTTGTTTTGCTTATTGAGAAACAATGTACGTGAAGATGCACGAGATATTTTTAATATTTATTGTCCAATGAGAAGTTAAGGGTTTTCTGAAAATATGTATGAAGCTGTGATACGCTTTTTGCACGAAAATCGACATTGATGAAAAAGTGGTAGCTGAAAGCTAAACCCTAACCAAAATGTGTCTGTAACAATCTGGTCGTTATTTTAAGACATAGGTTCAAATGAAAAGATTTCAAATTGACAATGTTTTTTTTCTATTTCACTGAAACATCTGTTAAACATTTCTGATGCCCTTTCTTTCTTTCTTTCATTTTCTCACTGAAACAAGGTAACGTCTCTAATATGTCTTTTCTAAACGGAATAATACATTATTTGTGAGATATTGGTGGGACATAATTATTCTTTTAACTAAGGTAAGGGAAAGTATAATTTTAAGATAAATACCAACCTGATACATTTGCTCATTTAAATATGAAATTATACTTCTGAATAAGCGAGCTAATAAATAAATAATATTTAATATCTTAGCTGTCAATTTTCAAGGATAAAGAAAATCATGAGCACTATTGTTGTGGATTGCGAGATGAAATCCGGTACCAATAAATAAAAAAAGCCCAGAATGAATATAGGGAAATAATGTATTAACGTAATAATATAAACTGGTAATGCGGGTTAGTAGTTCCAGGAATACGGGTTAGTAGCAAAATATCTATACAGTCTTTGGTATTGAAGTATCGCTGTATGACTTCTTACTGTGTCTATGTGCTCGCTCACGGGGACTCTTGCTGGCTACGTTCGTTCTGTCTGTCTGTTACTTTCACCCCCTGTTGCTCTCATCTCTCGGGCCTTCCGGTAGCAGTAGTAGATGTATATACTGGGTGAGTTCATTTGTCTAAAAAGGGAGGACCCCTCAACAACTATATATTACTAGGAATACCCCTGAAAATTTCATGGTTTTCCTATATTAAATTTCTGATAAATTTTAATTCTTAAGTTACTGATTGAATAAGCTCATGGCGAGTTTTACGACAATAAAATATCCGTAGACATTCTCCTATAGCATCGTTAAATATTTGAGCTTAGCAACTTAGTCATATTAACAAATAAGGGGATGCAAATGAAAAGATGTAAAAGTGACATCGTTTTCACATTTCATGGAAACAGATTTTAAGTCTGTGTTATTTCTTCTGTAATGAGATGCCATGCACGGCAATTTTGGCACATCTAGAAAGAGAAATTACAAAAAAAAAAAAAAGACTGTCGTAAAGATCTGGAAAGACTGCGGAAAACAGTGAAACAGATGTTAAACACACATGAGTGTTATCAACACTTCTATCTCCTCTTCTTTCCTTTTGTCACTGAAACCAGGTAGCGTCTCTGATATCTCTTTTCCGTCTTTCTACGTGATCAAACGGAATAGCACATCATACTTATTATAAAACCCAGGTTTTGTGTGTGTGTGTGTGTGTGTGTGTGTGTGTGTGTGTGTGTGTTTATATATTGGATCGGATTTCCTACATTTTTCAACCGATTTCAACAAAACTTCACAGGACTACGTAAAATTACCTTGCGGTGGTTCTGACAGCACCAAAAATTGGAGAAACACAATTGATTTTGCACGAAATCAATTTGAAAATACGATTAAGAGGCATCGCGAGAATGAAAGGGGACAACTTATATCGAGTTATACGTATTATAAAACCCAAGTTGTTTTTGTGTTGTGTGTGTGTGTGTGTGTGTGTGTGTGTGTGTGTGTGTGTGTGTGTGTGTGTGTTTGTTTGTTTATATATGGGATCGGATTTCCTACATTTTTCAACCGATTTCAACAAAACTTCACTTGTTTTTGGCAGGTAGTGTTTCTTATTGTCTTGCACACTTTTTTCTTTATTTTTACATTCAGAATGCTTTAAAAATTCCATTTACAAGACAATTGTTTATAATAAAATTCTATTCAATCGATAGACTCATAACGATTGAAAACAATATTTTTGTTTGAGTTTGAGTTTGACCAATTCGAAAAAAAACAAACTAATTAAGTCATGCGTGTCCATCAACTTTAAATAATAATCTTTGTCAATTTTATTTTTCAGTCTTTATGATGGTCGATACTTGATCTATCTCTTACTGTTACATCCCCGGGCAACGCCGGGCTCTACTGCTAGTTATGTATAAAGATAGTGGCTGGGCGTAACGTACATGCTAACTAAGAAGGGTGAGAAGAGGAATTATAATGAGATTTTATGAGACAAATATATAATTTCTGACGATAAAAATTTACTTGTGTTATGGGACCTTACCCATAATAACATAATGGACTATTCCATACGTAATAAATACTGCGCCTCAAGAGGAAGCAGAGAGTTTAGCCTGAAGTCGGGCGACCGGCTGAACTCTCTGCCTTCGGGCGGGGAGGAACCCGAGCGAGGCTACGCCGAAGGGCGGAGTCTCTTTCGGGGAGGTAAACCGACCCTGAACCCGTTTATATTTTTGGCCGAGCCCATGGGCTCGGAGATCCCACGTTAAACCGGCCTTGTGCCACATGATGCCCTCGTGGGAGGGGGTGACTAAATACTGTTCCGTCTCAAGTCTGGAGTTCAGTCTGATGTCTGGAGTGAGGTCCGTCAGAAATCTGTCAGTCAGTCAAAGCGAGCGAGTCAGTCGAGTCAGAGGCAGTCCGAAACAGAGTCGCGTTCAGATAATTACTACAAGATATTGGAATAGTGATACTGGTCGAGACTACGTTGTTCTCTCTACTAAACCTGATTGTTCATACTAACACTTCTACTTCGAGTTCTTCTTTATTGGTTCTACCTTGGACTATCACCGTGGTACAAGGAATCGGACCATAACAAAACTATAATGCAATATTTACACAGATTGAAAGAAGCTACAAGATATTGCGAATTTCAAAAACATGGGTTCGAGAGAAATGTCTTTAGAAGACGAATTGATCCTTTTACAACTAACTGAAGGCATGTATGACGTTACATATAAACATAAGATTCGAGAACGGCTGCAAGGGAATTATATGAATTTAGAAGCAAGTGTAGAATTCTTGCAGCAATTAAAATTAATTAATGAATTTAAGTACACAACACAATTGAAATCCTAATTAAGTGCACATATTGCAACAAAGAACATGAAAGAAACAAAAACAAAAGTTCATCCCTAGGAAAATTATGTTTAAAATATAAAAGAAAAGACCATATCCAATCTGTGTGAAGACACAAAAAGAGAATAGAAAAGGTAGAAAATATAAATCCTCATACCGAAAATACAGAAGTATATTCAATAAGAACACCTGCAAAAAGTAGAAAGAGACAGTAAAATTGAATGGCATAACTTTTCCCCATGAAGGTTGACACGGGGAGTGATGTTACTTTGATCCCAAGGAAGTTTTGAGAAGAAATTAAAAAAAGAAGTATTCTTAATTTAAAACAATTTGATTGATTTGTCATCAAAACTCTAGGCCCCTTTGAAGAAACTTTCGAGACATTTTGAGATTGTTTTCATCACTGTAGTAAAATGCACAAAAAATCATGGACTCCTGGGAATAGCGCTTTAATAGTCAGAGCAGTCGAGTCAGAGGCAGTCCGAAACAGAGTCGTGTTCAGACAATTACTACTAACACTTCTACTTCTCTGTATATATTCCTGTTTGTAATATATCTGTGTTATTCCATATCCGCCTTCGAGTTCTTCTTTATTGGTTCTACCTTGGACTATCACCGTGGTACAAGGAATCGGACCATAACAACTGTATACACATGTTTGATGATACATATATTTGAGAAGACAACACCTTTTTCTAAAGAGGGAAATTTTCTTCTACGAACCCAGATTTTCGAAAGACTTTAATTAATGATTATCCGACCGGCAAAGTTTGAACATTCGTCCCCCTAATATAGGAGAAACCATGTTTTTGAGACCACTCAGTCATCAGCGTTCTAAATGCAAAGTATTTATTATTATTATTGTTACTATTATCATTTGTATATGTTGTTTCCTGCTTTGTTTCCTGTAGATCCAGAGAATTGTCATTTAATCGATAGCAGTTTTCTTAGTCTATGAGTTGTTCCTAGTAGGGCGATCATCTGGGCAACTTCTATGTTGATGTTACCTTGGAAACTGTTAGTAAAATTGTCCATTTATTATCTCACGAGGCCCAGTGCTCCTGTTACTCTTGGTACTGCCTTAGTCTTCATTCTGCAGATCCTGTTAATCTCGATATCTAGGTCCTTGTATTTGGACAATTTCTCGATAATTTTCATGGAGGCTTTTATTATTATTGTTATTAATGTTATCATTATGATTGTTGTTGTTTTTGTTAAAGACTGACCCGGCCAAGAATTCTTTTTCATTAAAGTGTGGATCTTTGAGGTTTTCTACATTATTATTATTATTATTATTATTATTATTCGTGTATGTTATGTTTCCTGATTTGTATCCTGTCGGAGCCGGTTCTAAACTATGGTCCTTAGGCCGTATAGGAGAATTGTCATTTAATTGATAGCACGTTTCTTAGTATACGGGATGTTCCTAGTAGGGCGATCTTCTGGGCAACTTCAGTGCTGATGTTACTTGGGGCACTGTTAGTAAAATTATCCATTCTTTTTCTTACGAGGCGAGTGCTCCATATACTATAGGTAATATCTGAGTGTTAATTCCCAACATCCTGTTAATCTCAAGTCTAGTTTTTTTGTATTTTGACAATTTCTCGATATTTTTTCATGGAGTTGTTTCTCTCAGATGGTAATGACAATAATAAAAAATAATAAAAAATATATTAAAAACATCAAAAAAAAGAACATTATAAATCGTATGGAGCTTTTTTGGTATTCTGTTCATTCTCGGGGCAAAAGTAGTAGTTTGCAACTGTGAGTATCCTCATATGCTTTAAGGGTCGCAAAATTAAATAGATTTTGAATATTCTTTCATAAAGTGAAACTTATCCAAGAGGTTTAAGTGTCAAAAAGCCGGTACATTGTGAATATTTCTTTCAAAATGAAGACGTTGGTCGAAATTAAAGTCGTTTGTAATAAAAATGTACGGATATGCGGATATAAGAAGCTTGGATATAAGAGTCAGGTGTTACCTAAAGCAAAATGGACCAAACCCGGATATAAGAGAAACCCGGATATAGAGAGAAAGCCCCGGATATATGGAGAAACCCGGATATAAGAGAGATTTTCTCAGGTCCCAAATTAGAGCCCATACTTACCTAAACTAAATGGACCAAACCCTGATATAAGAGAAACCCGGATATAAGAGAGATTTTCTCAGGTCCCAAATTAGAGCCCATACTTACCTAAACAAAATGGACCAAACCTGATATAAGAGAAACCCGGATATAAGAGAGATTTTTCAGGTCCCAAAATTAAGAGAAACCGGATATAAGAGAGAGCATGTCCCAAATACATTACCTAAACTAAATGGACCAAACCCTGATATAAGAGAAACCCGGATATAAGAGAGATTTTCTCAGGTCCCAAATTTGAGCCATACTTACCTAAACAAAATGGACCAAACCCGGATATAAAGAAACCCGGATATAAGAGAGATTTTATCAGGTCCCAAATTAGAGCCATACTTACCTAAACAAAATGGACCAAACCTGGATATAAGAGAAACCCGGATATAAGAGAGATTTTCTCAGGTCCCAAATTAGAGCCATACTTACCTAAACAAAATGGACCAAACCCGGATATAAGAGAAACCCGGATATAAGAGAGATTTTCTCAGGTCCCAAATTAGAGCCATACTTACCTAAACAAAATGGACCAAACCCGGATATAAGAGAAACCCGGATATAAGAGAGATTTTCCCAGGTTCCAAATTTGAGCCATACTTACCTAAACAAAATGGACCAAACCCGGATATAAGAGAAACCCGGATATAAGAGAGATTTTCTCAGGTCCCAAATTAGAGCCCATACTTACCTAAACAAAATGGACCAAACCCGGATATAAGAGAAACCCGGATATAAGAGAGATTTTCTCAGGTCCCAAATTAGAGCCCATACTTACTAAAAACAAAACAAAAATGGAAACCCGGATATAAGAGAGAAAGGTCCCAAATTAGAGCCATACTTACCTAAATAAAATGGACCAAAGAGAAACCCGGATATAAGAGAGATTTTCTCAGGTCCCAAATTAGAGCCATACTTACCTAAACAAATGGACCAAACCCTGATATAAGAGAAACCCGGATATATTTTCTAGGTCCCAAATTTGAGCCATACTTCTAAACAAAATCAAACCCGGTCCCGGATATAAGAGAGACAACTTCTTATATCCGGGTTAGCCACTGTATAAACAAATTGGACCAAACCGTCGGATATGACATCATACCTGTGGCTAAGAGAAACCCGGATTGAATTTTTTATTTATTTTTTCATTTATTTTTTTTTTTAAACAAAATGAAATAGAAACCCGGTTATAAGAGAGACTTCTTTCGGTTTATTATTATTATTATTATTATTGACATCATACCTTGGCTATTGAATCTTTTATTTATTTTTTATTTATTTTTTTGGATGGCATGTTTTCAGCTTTGTATCCTGTAGGGCCGGGTCTAAACTATGGTCCTTAAGCCTTATATATTAAGTCTTTGTATCAAGGGTCACACATCAAGAACTCTGAGAAAGACTTCAACATTAGAAAAGGTATAGCATGGACTGCTTGTAACAAAATGGATAAGATCTGGAAATCCAATCTTGCTCGTCAATTACAAATCCAACTTTTCCGCGTACTTATTGAGACAATCTTACTCTATGGCTCTGAAACTTGGACTCTCTCAGCAAAACAACAGCGTCGTTTAGATGGATATTATACACGTCTTTTAAGAAGAGTGCTTAACTCTAGAAACCACCCAACTCTAGAAATGATATATGGTGACTTGCCAAGAGTATCAACTTTAGTTTGTAAGAGACGTGTCCAGTTCGCCGGGCATTGTGCACGTGCCACAGATGAACCTGTGTCATCATTTGTACTCTGGAGGCACCCATCATTTGTCAATCGATCACGCAAGTTAACCTTTCCAGATAGGATAAAACGTGACACATTGATCCCTAAGGAAGATCTTTTCGGTGCTATGACAGATAGGGAATACTGGAGAAGTGTAGTGAGTTCAATCTCGGCTGAGGCCGCAAGATGATGATGATGAAGCCTTATAGGAGAATTGTCATTTAATTGATAGCACGTTTCTTAGTATACGGGATGTTCCTAGTAGAGCGATTTTCTGGAAACTTGTAAGTCGATTTTACCTGGGATACTGTTAATAAAATTATCCATTCATTTTCTAACGAGGCCCAGAGCTCCGATTACTATTGGTACAGCCTCAGTCTTCATCCCCCACATCCTGTTAAGCTCGATCTCCATGTCCGTGTATTTAAACAATTTCACGATAATTTTCATGGAGGTGTTTCTCTCAGATGTTACTGCTATATCAATAAGCATACGCTTCCTGGATTTCTTCTTTTATTTACATTATACTAGCAGCATGGCCCGGCGTTGCCTGTGATTGATCAAAAATCGTACGACTCATACAGCAATCACTATCACTTGACTTAAAATATTTTTGCCCATCCTTGCCTTTAAAGGAGTGCCCTTTGCCGTGCTGATGTTGCTACATGCCTTACTTCTTGCCTGTCTCACACTGCGAATTTTTTCTAAGCTCTATACTAAACATTAAATCTGTTACGAAAAAAGAACTAAACGAAATGAACACAAAACGATGAGCTTTAAAAAAGGACTCGTAACTGGAAAAACCGAATGAAAAAAGAATGTTAACAAGAAATACTTTTTCACACCCAACACAGTTTTGCGGAATCAGAATCAACGTTAAGTTTAAGCAAGCGAATGAGCTAATTGGAGTAAAGTGCCATGCAGATTTAAATTTTTCCCACTTGTGACGAATGCAGCTATCGATTTGTTCTGCGTGTTAGCATGCTAGTTAATATTCGAATAATGTAAGTCAGTCAAGTAATCATAATACCTCATCTCAGAGATTTAGACAGATATTGGAAACTATACTCATGTTCTTATATAGACTCGTCGGATATAGACTTTCATAGGATGTCATGAAGGCCGGAGAATACCGCGACCGAAACGTTGTGAATATGACATTAAAGATGAGGATAACAGCCCGAATAAAGTAAGTAAGTTAAGTAATCATAATACTTTATCTCAGAGATATAGACAGATAATGGAAACTATACTCATGTTCTTATATAGACTCGTCGGATCTAGACTTTCATAAGGATGTAATGAAGGTAGGAGAATACAACAGCGGAAACGGTGTGAATATGGCAATGATGATGAGGATAACAGTCTGAATAATGTAAATGATGCAAGTCATCATAATACACCATCTCAGACATATAGGTAGATATTGAAGAATAGGTACGGACCCGATATACCAAAAATATGGGGACAGCTAGAAAAGTCTCACCGGAAGTCGTAGTCAAATACTTACTGGAGTGGTACTAAGAAATTGAGCATCATTCCAACATATTTAACAATCGTACTTATATATGACATCTATTTGGGGTCTGCGGTTAACTTCTCACAACAGATGTTCAAGGCTAGAGCGTCATCGAAACCAACCATTCTTTATAATAGGAGAAAATTTAAGGTCTTTTAGTTGATAATATAACGGTACTTATTTACTCATAGAGTTATTCCACCTGCGGTAATCGACTAATGTGTTTTTATCTTTTCAGATAATCTATGGCGAACTATCAGGTGATGCATGGTATGAACTGTAATGTTTGAGACACACACAAAGTACAGTGACGTTGAGATTGCACGTTTTCGCCAGGAAGTCGACAGGTCGTAGTCCGGGAAGATTTGGAAGCCTCCAGCGGGGATGTGTCGCCTGTAGCGAAAGCAATTAAAAAAAAAACTTCATTCGGACAGTTTCAGGTCACCACATTTCGTACATCAGCGGTGGAACATTATCAATGCGTATCGCGGAACGTACATGTGAACCATTGCCATATATCACCAGGTGTCCCGGATGTAGAAAAGGAAGTTCATTGCATCCATACACACAAGTACAAGCTTTTCCCTGGGCAAAATGATTACTAAACAGTATTTTTTTTTCAACCAGGATCAATAAGTGCACGAGAGAAAGGATAGGTATATCTGAGATTCCTTGCCATCCCATTTTCGTTCAACAGGATTTTCGGTTGATTGCTGCTGGCCAATCTGAGATGCCGGGAAGCCCTGAATTATCCTTGTATGCAATGGAAGGTCGTATGTGTTTCAGCAGGACAATGTACCAGCTCAAAAAGCTATGGCCATCCAAGATTCGACAAAGACCAATTTTCACGACCCTATCACACCAAGCATAAACTAAACTCGCTAAACTTGACTATTATATGTGAGGGTATTAATGAACGAGAGACGAATCAACAATGATACGATTGATTCAATGAAAGCAGCCATTATCCAAATAATCAATACAGACCATGTGATGCGTACATATTATAAATTCCGGTCTCGGATTGAAGTCATAAGCACTTCTGTAAGCGGTTACATCGAGTAAGCATGCACTAATAAACATGTTGTTATTATTATTAAAAGTAAAAAGGTGGGACCGAAATGCCACCCAGGTAGCACGCTCAAATTCGTGCAGTTGGGACACCACTGAAAATGTTAAATACGGCAGACAAGTAATATTTAACTAATATATATAAGCATTGAATTTTTGTTAAGCGTTTCGCCCTAGGAAAAGAAGGAGTGCCACTAGCACGCAAGGAGTTACAAAGGGTGAGAGCAAGAGTAAAGGGGGCTGTTTGAGGAAAGGATATATAAAAGGACAGCAATCAGGATCAAAGCATCAAAAGATGTCGATTGACATTACATTTGAATATTTGAGATTATAGCGATCAGGGAAGCCAGTAAGAGGAAGGGAGTTACTCTTTCGGGAAGTGCAAGAGAAGAAGCTGTTGGAGTAGAAAAGGCGGTTATATTTAACTGTTTCGACAGTGAAAGGGTGGAGCCGAGGTACCAACGTAGTAGCACGCTTAAATTCGTGCAGTTGGGGTACCAATGAAAATAGCTCGTCAGAGTAGTTGCCATGAAAATACTTGTTGAATAAACAGAGGGAAGCCACATGACGTCTGTGAGATAATGAGTGAAGTCGAGATGCCAGGTCAGGACCTATCATATTGCATATTTGTCTCTGGGTTTTGTCGAGAACCTCGAGATGAAGAGCAGTGGCACCAGATCAGATATGGTAACATTGTTCAATGCAAGCCAAATGCTAGATTTGCAGATTTGGTAGCAATATTTAAATGTATCGGTGAATGTAGAATTATAAACGTGCATGATGGATTCTAAAGAGAAATGTCTTCTCGTACGACCCAGTAAACCAACCTTCCTACCAGTAGACGTGGCAGTTGATAACGTGAGTCCAAGAAGGCGAAAGCTGCTGCTCTTCTGAAGTTTAGCGTCAGTCAAGCTGATGGGAGGCAGAAAAATTTCCCTGTGGTGATTAATTAGTCTCGAAGCTTTTGAAGGTTACAAGCCAGTCACCACCATTGATACGCTAAAGGGCACAACCTTTATAAGATAAAGTTGGTATTATGATAATAGTGAACAGCTAAAAAGTATTGGTTATTCTAATGATACCACTCAAATATTCTGTATCGTTTAAAGGAAGTACCATTTTTTTTAATCTGCAGAGAAAAAATGCAACAGAATTATCCCTTTTAATACAAAGGACCTGCACACAAAACGAGGGATGATTTGAAGAGTTTGATGTTTAAGTTAAAATCCTTCCTCACATCTCAACATATCTTGCCTATTCTAATTCCCGTTAACATAAATCATAACAAAACGTTTCGCACGGGAGAAAAGTTGTAACGTTTAACATTTGATAGCACACTACATGTATATTACGTATGCACATATACTAAGAGAACCCAGTAGCATCAAAATTCAAAAACAGCAGCGATACATCGCGATTTAGTATGCTCCTTGGCTTCTGATTTGACGATTCGGTTTTTAATTGACTTTCAGTCAGTCAGTTATGCACCATGCGTGATACAAGCTTAGGCCTTCATGTATCTCTCGATATATGACTGACGAAGTAGATTTAATATAAACATTATCTATCTATCTATCTATCTATCTATCTATCTATCTATCTATCTGTTTGTCCATATCTATCTATCTATCTATATATCATCTATTAAGGTTGAATCTCACTAAATTGATTTGTTCTTGATGTTATCAGTTTTTTTATCTCTCTCTCTGCGGCTCTCTTTCTCTCTCTGCCTGAAAACCATACCACGGGGTGAACCAAAACCTACAAAAATAGACAGCGTTGAAATTGAAATTGAGCACGCTGTGCCTGTCATCGTGTAAGAGGCATGGGTTCTGTGGGAAAAGGATAGACAATAAACATCATGATTTGAAAGGAAAAATATTATAATATTAACATCTATCTATCTGTTTGTCCATATCTCTCTATCTATCTATCTATCTATCTATCTGTTTGTCTATAGGTATCGAATCTCATCTATCTATCTGTTTTCCATTCTTGATCTATTATCCATCTATCTAGGAACCTTTCATATCTATCTATCTATCATCTTTGGAAATTCATCTATGTAAAACTATTGCAACAATCAATGAACCACTCATTTTGAAAATACTGCAGTTTTCTCAGAAATCTAATCATCAGTCATCAATCTATCTATCTATAAGATATCTATGGGTTTTGTCTATAAAGGATCTATCTATATAACATCTATGATTTGAAAGGAAAAATCACTAGGATTAATTTGTTCTTGATGTTCTATTTGGAGGAGGCGATCCCATCTCGGCATCTTTCTATCTGAAAACCTATCTATGAACCAAAACCTTGAAAATAGACAAGTATCTGAAATTTGTCCATATCTAAGATCTATCTATCTATGGGGAAAATCATATCAATAAACATCATGATTTGTCCAAATCTATTATAATCTAAATATCTATCTATCTATCTATCTGTTTGTCCATATCTCTCTATCTATCTATCTATCTATCTATCTGTTTGTCCATATCTATCTATCTATCTATCTATCTATGTGTTTGTCCATACCTACCTATCTATCTATCTATCTATCTATCTATCTATCTATCTATCTATCTATCTGTTATCCTTTGTCTGTTGGGTAATTTAGTGTTTCAGTTTCCCTCCTCAGATAAAACATTTCCGATATATTTAAATCTTTGAACTTGTTTGATTTTGCTATCTCCGATTTGTAATTTGCATTTTGGTCTCATCATTTTTTTTAACAAACATGCGTTTTATCTTCTTGCAATTGATGCTTAAATCTTTCTTTCCGTTTTCCTTCCCTATATTCTCAACTGTCAGCCAGTTATGTGCCATGTGTGATACACGCTTAGGCGATCATGTATCTCTCGATACATGACTGACGAGGCAGATTTTTCACCGCAGTATGTTGCTATTTCTTTTTGCGGTAGACCAGTTGCTATCCAAGGCTATAGAACTGCTATATGTCCTGCTATTTATTCATAATTGGGAGGAAGAAGAAGAGAATCCATACCTTTCCCAAAGGTATTATTAGCACGTAAGTAAATGTCATGGATTCGACTGGAATTTGAACTCCGATGTGAGTATACATTCACAACTAAAATAGAATCCAATGAACCATTTATTTAATCCGGGCCTTTATATTTTTAGACGTTCAATGATATCTATGATTCATTGATTAAAATATATAAATTAATTTTTACTCACTATCTTTACACGTTAAAATATTATGTTTAAGATAACATTAAAATGGAAGTATCCATCGGGAGAAAAAAAGAGTAACAACAGAACGACAAAAGCAAGAGTCGACAAAGTCTATTTTATGACCAAGTTGAAATATGACAATCACTTAACCGGCAAAGGTATCTGAGTACCTTACATGAAAGGCTTGAACAAATAAGACTGCAATCTAAGAAACGTAGGCGTAAAGGAACTGATTAATTCAACGCTTCCTTTTGCTCGGGAACACAGTCTTTCCTGCTATGTACCGATAGCTGGATGTTGAAGAAGAAGATTCATACCTTTTCCAAGGATATTAGCACGTAAGTGAATGCTGTCCTGGGAATTACGATAAACTACATCCTTTGTAAGACGTTAAACTACGTCCAGCAGCAAGGCCCCTGCTCAGGAGGTTTTGAGGAGTGTGGAAGCACTTCTTAAATGCAGGTGTTCCCAGGAACACCGTGACCCATGTAGTAGCACCTGCTAGCTATGGACAAATAGTTAACACACAAACTGGGGTCAAAACACTATGAAAGTGTAAAAACAATTCATTTTTGAAAAGCAAATATTATCAGTGATACATTTTTTGAAAAAAGATATTACCAGTGAAGGAAAATTATTACCAGAAATAGATTTTTGAAGGAAAAAATATTACCAACAATGAAAATTCTGTCGGCATTAAATAACCCATTGAGGTGGATATGCCGTAAAACAAAACAAACCAACCAACCATGTAAGTGAATATAATGGATTCGACTGGAATTCGAACTCGGCTCTCCAATTCTTCAATCCGAGACGCTATGCCAACTAGAATTTTAGAAAACCAATATTTATTTAAAAAAAAAAACATATCACTCATTACTGACTCTCCATTCCATTCAAAAAAATTATAAACAGTTTTAAAAATCATTTTGCCCCAAGCAAGGCAAGTAAGCCCCTAAGACGCAGTAGTTTACTGTATGTGAAAGAACAAGAAAAAAATTACTTAGGAGCCAGAACAGAAGTTAAGAGGACAGAAGATAACTGTTCACATTTCATTTAAATTTTTGAAGTTCTGGGAAGCAAGGATGCCGAAAAGAATCTCACAAGCGAGAAATACAAGAAAAGAAACGTTTAACATAGAACTTACGGTACATTCTAGCCATTTGAAATGTAAAATGATGAGACCTTGCTGCCAGTCTAGTATTGTGATTAAAATTCATAAATTCTAGGTAAAGTAGAGGAAAGTTCGACAGAACAATTATCATGAAAGCCGAGATGCCAGGACTGAAGGGAGTCCCACAAGCAAGAAGTATAAGAGAAGACACTGCTAGCATAGAAAATAGCATACATCGAGCCATTTCAATTGTAAAATGATGAGGACATTGTCACCAATCTAATAATGCGCTTAAATTCTTAGGATCTACTTACAATAGAAGCAAGGGTGCAACAACCATTACTATGAAAATATTTATAGTAAAATGCATGAGGAAGCTACATTGCAATGGTGGCAAATTGATTCGAGTCGAGATGCCAGCTCAGGACCAAATATATTGCAGATTCTTCTTTGGACTTTATTAAGTATCTCTAGATTTATAGCAGGACTAGAAGATCATACGCGGCAGTAATATTCAAACCATTGAAGAATGGTAATCGTCACTTTTATTCTAACATTTATTTTTGCTCAGAAATTTAAAGATATTGATCGAAACTGCTTGATGGTATTGTTTAGTAAAATCGATATTCAGCTTAATTAAACAAGAAGAGTGTGAGAGTTCTCTATCTCTCTCATATATATATATATATATATATATATAATTATTTATTTTAAAAATTATAACATAAATATGTTATAAAATCACTACAAAAATAGCCATTTTGTTTCAACACTTCTGGTGTCTTATCAAGTGATGATTTTGAATGTAAAATTTTACATTCAACATCATCTTGATAAGACACCGGACGTGTTGAAACAAAATGGTTGTTTTTGTAGTGATTTTTATAACATATTTATGTTATAATTTTTTAAATAAATAATTATATCTGCTCTCTTTTTTTAAGAATAGTAATTGTTGGTTATTGGAATTCATTCCAATTATTATATACAATTATATATATATATATATATATATATATATATATATATATATATGGAAGCTTTGTTTTGAGTAGAAAGATTCGACGCCAGTACGAAACTCTTCCCCCAGCATCGTGCAATAAGATTAATGCATTCATGAAGTCAGTGAAAGTTCGTAAGGTGAGCTGAGAAAGGAAGAACGAATGTTAATCTTGTCTATGTTAATGAAACAAAGTCTTCTTTCTTTTCTTCTTTGATAGTTTTATTGTTGCCTTCCATATATTCCACTTTATTCTTCTTTCTCCTTCTTTTTCCTTATCTTCTCCATCTTCTTCTCTTTATGTCTACTCCTCTTCTTTCTGCTTGCCTATATACTCCGTCTTCTTCCTTTTGCCCATGTATCGCTTTCTTCATCTTCTTCTTCTTCTTCTTCTTCTTCTTCTTCTTCTTCATAACATTCTCCATCTTCTTGCCTTTCCACATATTCTACTGTCTTCTTCTTTCTTCTTTTTGTTTATATTCTCCATCTTCTTCCCTTTATCTACATATCCTTCTTTTTGCCTATATTCTCCAACTTTTTGGAATGTTCCTCTTTTCTCTTCTGCTTTTTCTTCCTCTTCTTTTCAATATTCACGATTTTCTTCCCTTTCCTCATATTCCACTTTCTTCTTCTTTTTCTACATTCCCCACTTTCTTCGCTTTCCACCATATTCCTTTATTTTTCTTCTTCTACTTCTTCTTCTTGTCAATATTCTCCATTTCCTTCCCTTTCCTCATATTCCACTTTCTTCCTTTTTTCTACATTCCCCACTTTCTTCGCTTTCCACCATATTCCTTTATTTTTCTTCTTCTTCTTCTTCTTCTTCTTCTTCTTCTTCTTCTTCTTCAATATTCTCCATTTCTTCTTCATATTCCACTTCTTTTTCATTCCCCTTTCTCCATTTCCATATTCCTTTTTATTTTTTCTTCTTCTTCTTCTTCTTCTTCTTCTTCTTCTTTTGTCAATATTCTCCATTTCTTCCTTTTCCTTCTTTCGTTCATCTTTTTTTCATATTCCCCACTTTTTCGCTTTTATTCCTTTTTTTTTCTTCTTCTTCTTCTTCTTCTTCTTCTTCTTCTTCTTCTTCTTGTCAATATTCTCCATTTCCTTCCCTTTCCTCATATTCCACTTTCTTCCTTTTTTTCTACATTCCCCACTTTCTTCGCTTTCCACCATATTCCTTTTTTTTCTTCTTCTTCTTCTTCTTCTTCTTCTTCTTGTCAATATTCTCCATTTCCTTCCCTTTCCTCATATTCCACTTTCTTCCTTTTTTTCTACATTCCCCACTTTCTTCGCTTTCCACCATATTCCTTTATTTTCTTTTTCTTCTTTTTCTTCTTCTTCTTCTTCTTCTTCTTGTCAATATTCCCCATTTCCTTCCCTTTCCTCATATTCCACTTTCTTCCTTTTTTCTACATTCCCACTTTTTCGCTTTCCACCATATTCCTTTATTTTCTTCTTCTTTTTTCTTCTTCTTCTTCTTCTTCTTCTTCATTTCTTCTTCTTCTTCTTCTTCTTCTTGCTTTCACCATATTCCTTTATTTTTTCCTTTTCCTTCCTTCTTTTCCTTTTCATATTCCAATATTCTCCATTTCTTCTTTCCTCATATTTTTTCTACTTTTTTTCCCCAATTTCTTCGCTTTCCACCATATTCCTTTATTTTTCTTCTTCTTCTTCTTCTTCTTCTTCTTCTTCTTCTTCTTGTCAATATTCTCCATTTCCTTCCCTTTCCTCATATTCCACTTTCTTCCTTTTTTTCTACATTCCCCACTTTCTTCGCTTTCCACCATATTCCTTTATTTTTCTTCTTCTTCTTCTTCTTCTTCTTCTTCTTCTTGTCAATATTCTCCATTTCCTTCCCTTTCCTCATATTCCACTTTCTTCCTT